CGTTTCCGATTGACCTAATTCCTATTGCGATGGGGGATGTCTGTGTCATCGTAGGCATGGACTGGTTGAGCCGATTCAGCGCTGTCATCGACTGCGAGCGTCAGCTGGTGACTATACGAGACCCTAGTGGGGAGTTCTTACGGTATACGGCGAGGGTACCCGTTCGGGATCAGCTTTTTGTTCGGCCGCTAGGGCGAGGCAATGCCTACAGCGGGGATGTAACGGTTTTGTGGCGTATGTGATGGATACGCGGGAGATTTCCGAGAGACCGAAGACAGTGAAGGAGGTTCCAGTGGTGCGCGAGTTTCCAGATGTTTTTCCCGAGGATTTGCCGGGAGTACCTCCTGCGAGGCAAGTGGAGTTTGGTATCGATCTAGTTCCAGGGGCTGCGCCTATTGCGAAGGTGCCTTATCGTCTTGCACCTCCAGAGATGCAAGAGTTGTCCTCGCAACTTCAGGAGTTGTTGGGAAAGGGATTTATTCGGCCGAGTAGCTCGCCGTGGGGAGCACCGATTCTGTTCGTCAAGAAGAAGGATGGTTCACACCGGATGTGTATCGATTACCGGGAGCTGAACAAGGTGACGGTCAAGAACCGCTATCCGTTACCGAGGATCGATGATCTATTCGATCAGTTGCAAGGGGCATCTTGGTTTTCCAAGATTGATTTGAGATCAGGGTACCATCAGGTAAGAGTGCGGGATGAGGACGTCCAGAAGACAGCATTTAGGACGCGGTATGGGCATTACGAGTTCGTGGTGATGCCTTTTGGGCTCACCAATGCCCCAGCAGTGTTCATGGACCTCATGAACAGGGTATGCAGGCCGATGCTGGATCGGTCTGTGATTGTATTTATCGACGACATTCTGGTGTATTCGCGGTCTAGAGAGCAGCATGAGGGACATTTGAGGGAGGTCCTTGAGGTACTGAGGTCGGAGAAGCTATATGCAAAATTCTCCAAATGTGACTTCTGGTTACGGGAGGTCCAATTTCTGGGGCACGTTGTAAATCAGGCAGGGATATTGGTTGATCCGGCCAAGGTGGAAGCAGTGATGAGTTGGGAGGCACCGAAGTCACCTTCTGAGATCAGGAGTTTCCTTGGGTTGGCGGGGTACTATCGGAGGTTCATTAGGGACTTCTCCAAGATCGCGGTGCCGCTCACCAGATTGACCCGGAAGGGTGTTACATTTTCATGGGGACCCGAGCAGCAGACTTCCTTCGAGACACTTCGTCAGAGACTGTGCGAAGCCCCAGTATTAGCTCTCCCGGAAGGGATGGAGGACTTTGTCGTATATTGCGACGCATCGATTTCGGGACTGGGTGCAGTGTTGATGCAGAGGGGCCATGTGATAGCCTATGCATCGAGGCAGCTGAAGCCTCACGAGGCGAGGTATCCCACGCATGACTTAGAGTTGGGGGCAGTAGTGTTCGCCCTCAAAATTTGGCGTCACTACCTGTACGGGGTTCGTTGTACCATATACACGGACCATAAGAGTTTGAAGTATTTGATGGATCAACCCAACCTAAATATGCGTCAGAGGAGATGGTTAGACGTGGTTAAGGATTATGACTGTGAGATCCTATACCACCCAGGCAAGGCTAATGTGGTAGCCGATGCATTGAGTCGTAGGGCGGAGAGCACTCCATTGCGGGACGTATGTTTGAGATTGACGGTGATGACTCCGGTATTAGATGCTATTCGTGGGGCACAGGCCGAGGTTGTGAAATCTGGGATGCAGAAACAGGAGCGGGTCGTCGGGTTGATTTCAGAGTTCGTTATGGATGGACGGAGACTTCTGACGTTTCAGGGTCGGATCTGGGTACCATTCGTGGGCGGTACGCGTGTTACTTTGATGGAGGAGGCACACAGATCGAAATTCTCGATCCATCCCGGTGCTACGAAAATGTATTTGGATTTGAGAAAGGAGTACTGGTGGCCTTGCATGAAGAGAGACGTCGCCTGGTTCGTTGAGAGGTGTTTGACCTGCCGTAGGGTTAAGGCCGAGCACCAGAGACCGCACGGTAAGTTGCAACCCTTGGAGATTCCTGAGTGGAAGTGGGAACAGATCACGATGGATTTCATCACCAAATTGCCGAGAACTGCCAGGGGAGTCGATGCGATTTGGGTGATTGTGGATAGGCTAACAAAGAGTGCACACTTCCTTGCCATTAGCGAAAGTTCATCAGCAGAGAAGTTGGCAGAGTTATACGTGAGAGAGATAGTATCTCGGCATGGAGTGCCGACCTCGATTGTTTCGGACCGCGATGTACGTTTCACTTCCAGGTTCTGGAAGAAATTCCATGAGGAGTTGGGTACTAAACTGCATTTTAGTACCGCATACCATCCCCAGACCGACGGTCAGAGCGAGCGGACGATTCAGACATTGGAAGACATGCTTAGAGCGTGTGTGTTAGACTTCGGGGGTAGCTGGGATGCGCATCTGCCGTTGGCTGAGTTTTCCTACAACAACAGCCATCATTCGAGCATTGGTATGCCACCTTTTGAGTTGTTGTATGGTAGGAGGTGTCGGACTCCCATTTGCTGGGGAGAAGTGGGACAGAGAGTGATGGGCAGTACAGAGATCGTACTTCAGACGACCGAACAGATTCAACAGGTGAGGCAGAGGTTATTGACCGCCCAGAGCCGACAGAAGAGTTACGGACAGACGCCGGTCCGAGCTCGAATTCCAGGTTGGCGACTTCGTTCTCCTAAAGGTTTCTCCTTGGAAAGGAGTGATTCGGTTCAGAAAGAGGGGCAAATTGGGGCCCCGGTTCATAGGTCCATTTCGTGTAGTTGCAAGGGTAGGTAAGGTAGCTTATCGGTTGGAGTTGCCAGCAGAGCTGAGTCAGATTCACAACACCTTTCACGTATCACAGTTGAGGAAGTGTATAGCCGATGAATCGGCAGTGGTTCCGTTAGAAGATATTCAGGTGGATGCGAGCCTGAATTACGCCGAGAGACCAGTAGCTATCAGGGATCGGAAGATCAAGGTTCTACGGAACAAGGAGATACCTCTGGTGTTGGTTCAGTGGCAACATCGGAAGGGATCGGAGATGACTTGGGAGCCGGAGAGTGAAATGCGGGAGCAACATCCGGAGTTATTCGCAGAATGAGACTTCGAGGGCGAAGTCTAGTTCTAGTGGGGGAGAGTTGTAACAGCCCGGAATTTCAGGTATTGCTTTAAACTATTTTGGGGCATAATTAGGAGGGGACTCGGCGAGTTGGTGCCTGACTCGCCGAGTAGGACCACGGTCTTGGACACAGATTCGCGACTGGACTCGACGAGTCCATTAGGGACTCGGCGAGTCGACGCTGTTCAGCTGAAACCCTAGCCGTTTTATTCTGGATCGTATATAATGTCTTTAGGGCCGTCATGTCTCGTCTTTTGGCCGATTGAAGATAACTTAGGAGTCTGTGGGCATCTGGAGCAAGGGTGAGGGCTAGTGGAAGCTTGAAGAGGTTGTTAGACAAGGAGAGGCAAGGTGGTGATCAAAGGAGGTTCAAGGGGTCGAGCTCTGAAGGTTGGGGACACAGGGAACACGTTTTCCAGGTAATCCTCGGATCATTTCTGTAGTTTTGACGTTGTATACGAATCTAGGGTTTAGGAAACCCATTTAAGGATTTGATAGATTATAGTGTTGTTACAAGTGTTTAAACCCCTGTAATAGTATATGTGAAGGTCCAGGAAGCCCCATATCTATATATTACGGAATCATGCGAATTACAGGAGGCAGTTGATTGACTGCATGGCGAGGACTCGCCGAGTCCAATGATCAGACTCGGCGAGTAGCTTGAAGATTCACTAGGACTCGCCGAGTTGTTCTTCAGACTCGGCGAGTAGCTTGAAGACCTACTGGAACTCGTCGAGTCGTTCTTTAGACTCGGCGAGTGGAGTCGGGGTGTCTAGACTCGCCGAGTTGCCTTTGCACTCGACGAGTCCGGTCAAGTTGACCGTTGACCTGTATGTAATTTAGTAGGGTCAGTTGTCTTGTTTGATAAGATCATTAATAAAGGTATGTGGTATTATAGGGAGCCTGCAGATTAGCGGATCGAGTGCGAGTAGCTCGAAGGGTTTATAGCTTGCATACTACGAGGTGAGTCTTCTCACTATACTTCACCCGGAAGGGTTTGACTGCGTGACCGGAAGGTCGTATGTGTTATATTTATGCTATGTCTAGAGAGGTAGATGCTTTATATGTGATGTATGCTTATACGGGCCGGAAGGCGAGACTTTATGTGATAGAAAGAACGGTATGATGTATGACTTATGTGTTATGTGTGATATGTTATATGTGTTATGTTTTATACTATTATGGGCCGGAAGGCAAAATACTATGGGCCGGAAGGCAATTAATACGGGCCGGAAGGCGATATGTTATGGGCCGGAAGGCGATTATGTTACGGGCCGGAAGGCAATGTTATGTGGACTGAAAGGTCCGGGCCGGAAGGCGTATGTGGGTAAGTCGTATACTGAGGAACTCACTAAGCATTTATGCTTACCAGTTGTGTTTATGTTTTTTAGGTACTAGTGATGACCGTGGGAAGGCGCCGGCGTGACACGTACACATTGCCATTGTTGAAGATCTTGGGGATTCGTTATTTATATTTTTGCAATAAACTTGGAATAAATTCTTTTGTCGAATAATGATGTTTTATTTTAAATGAAAAATTTATTTGAAAATTTGAGCTGTTACAGGATTCGTAACGTCAAAATACCTTACAATGATAAAAGGTGCGAATTGGTCTAAAATCCGAAGCTTAGAGGTGAATTACGAAGTTGTAGTTCAATTTCCGGAGCATTTCTCAAGATTCCGGAGTCAACGGGAGGGTTCTGAAGTGCTTAGGAGAAGTTTCAGAGTCATCAGGCGAGATCCGGAGTCATTTGGGTCATTTCTTAAGTAGCTTCCTCAAATCGGGAGTCAGATGTGAAGTTGCCTGGTCCGGACCGAGGTTCCGAAGCGATGAGAGAATGTCCAAAGCAACTTCTAATTTCCGGAGTGGATTCAAGGGTTTCCGGATGAGAGGCTTTTCTCTAGTCCTTCAGAGGGTCCGAAGCACATTGGTTCCGAAGTGAAATTCCTCCTAACTCCTAAGAAGGTATTCCGGACTAAGAGGGTTCCGGACCAAGAGGGTTCAATAGCAAGAGGTTCAGCAGCAAGAGGTTCAGGAGCAAGAGGATTCCTTTTGGGGTTTCCTCTTCCGGTTTTGAGCTGTTTTCGACCGTGGAAGGTACTTAAGGAGATTTAAGAGAGATTTGAGATACATGGAGAGATTTGGGAGAGATTTCTCATACTTGGAGAGATTTGGGAGAGATTTCACCTACTTGGAGAGATTTGGGAGAGATTCACTATAATTAGAGAGATTTGGTAGAGATTCACTATAACTAGAGAGATTTGGGAGAGATTTCACCTATTTGGAGAGATTTGGGAGAGAATCACTATACTTGGACAGATTTCGAATACTAACATTCATGGCTCATTAGGAACTTATATTGTACATTTAGGTGTGCTTAGCACAAGTCTCAAAATAGTCCTTGCTTACTTGAGAATGAAATTTCCTTAGTCAAAAGGCTAATTGTGAAACTAACAATATTTTTTATAATGAGAAATGGATGCGATGCGTGCAATCAACCAAGCTCAAGTAAGTGAATCCCAGAATACCCATACATGATATTATGAGAATTGCATGCTAGATTAGGGCTAAGGATCTGCTCACGGTTGCATTCTGGAATGCTATGTGAGATGCCTTTATATGCTTGTTGGTTGAACTTTTAGAATCGCATGCTAGAATGGATTTCTGATGCCAGATAGATTAGCCTGATATGTGATGCCTTGTAGATTAAGAGGAATTAGATGTTATGTTTGTTTTGGAATCTCTATTGGTAACAAGTGAGATTGAGATGTCCTTTGATTCGTTTGTGGCATGGAGTGTTACTGCATGAATGATGTTTACTTTATGCTTTATGGGACTCTTGATGATGTAAGTTAACTATTAAGTGAATATGTTACTTTATATATTGTATAGATTAAATAATCTCATAGTAATTGAGTTGGCCCTACTACGCAGCTCTCGTCTGAGTCTAACCATTGTAGGGATGAGTCTTTTAGTTGAAGGCTTATCTACGCTTTGTAGCACGTGATTGTATTCATGAAGTAGTTAGCTGACATTAGAGAGAGTTCTTTAGCAGCTGATGGCAAGGTGAGGTCAGGAACCCAGGAGATCCTAAGAAGTGATTAGTAGGTTTCACTACTAGAAAAACAGCCTTTTATGACGCTCATTGCGCGTCGTAAAAGGCTCAGACGACGCGCAAATGCATGTCAAGGAAGGCCTTGTCATAAAGAGAGACGACGTGCAATTACGACGCACGTTTACGACACGCAATGCGTATCAAGGAAGACCCTGTCATAAAGGAAGACGACACGCATTCACGTGTCGTAACCTTATGACGCGCATGTTAATGACACGCAATGCGTATCAAGAAAGCCCCTGTCAAGAAAGGCCATGTAATAAATGAAGATGACACACATTTTTGCGTATCGTAAATTTGAATGTTTAAAAAAATAAATTTATATATTTATTAAATTTTAAATTAAATTTGCATTTAATTTCTCATAATAGAAATAAAATACCATATACAAAAAATACAATCCATTGCATAATATAAAATAAAATTTCATACTCAAACAAAAAAATAAATTGCACAAATTATAATGTCATACAAAGAATCATTCAAATGTTAAACAAAAATAATAAATTGCTAACATGGGTTATACATTCCTATAAAACTAACAAATAATCATACAACTCTGTTTCTTACTGGAAAGGAATGCCAAACATGATTACAAGTCTCCCATAATCTTGATTACTCACCTGCTTAAGTAGAATGATGTTGTTGAGAAGGTTACCTAGCAACAGAGAAAAACACAACACCTCTCCCACAATCACAACATCATTTACAAAAAAAGGGTTGTTAATTAATTTCATTAAGACTTTCATTCAATCACAAAAATATTAAATTAAAGGGTGAAAAAAATAACTTACTTTTGATAAGTTGATCTCCTTTAGAGCAAACACAGCTAAAGCATTGAACAAAACCCTAGGGCCTTCTCTTAATGTAAACACAATGCTCATCTGCAAAATTGAGGCGATAAAATAAAATTTGAATATTGTTTGGGTAGTTTATATATGATTTGATAATTTGATTTAAAATACAATAAAATAAATTATATTTTTTGTTACCTTATGGGGCTTGTCAATTCATGGGATTATAGGTTCCCTTGCTGGTATTAGAAAACAAGTTATGTTATCTAAATCATCCTGAACATTCAATATAAGAATTGTAAGACAAAATGCACTACTAGAAAAATAGCCTTTTGCTGATGAGAAAGCTTTTGGCAAAAATACATCACTTTATCAATAGCTTCTTCAAGAGAAGATGGGCCTGTAGCAAAAGTTACACGAATCTAGTTTTTCAAACCTACATTAAGTCCTGCAAAACCCAAAAAGAAAAGTCAAAGTGTTATATTACTATATTATATGGTTGTTTGTATTAAGATAAGAATATGTGTATCTACATGAGAACGAATAAATTGCCATAAAAAATCACCAGCTAAACCTGAACATAATTTTAGGTGCACTGAGAAAAGTCAAAGGGGTATTTGAAATATAGAAAAAAAAGGGACATAAAGATTCACCTGTAAAACATTTGGCAAGTTTAGCCTTTGACCAAGCTAGGTAGCAATTGTTGACTTTCCAACACATGTTGTGCCACATACAAGAATAACTTGTCATCATCTTGTAAATACAAAAGAAAGATTTAATTACTAAATTAAGAATTTATAAAAGGGTACAAAAGGGGAGTTGGGAAATACCTTGTCATCATCTTGTAATGATTTATATATTCTTGCCCATAGCCCCGCCTTTCCATGAGCTGCAATCAAAGTCATAATTATGGTTATGCCTTTTATTTGAAAGTGGTATATTGTAAAAACTTAAACATGGCTAAAATGGAGATAACAGGGATATATATATATATATATATATATATATATATACCTTAAACAAATTAGCTTCCATATCAGATTGAGTGCTGCAAAAAAACTAATATATGAGATTTAAAGCGACATATGTTAAGTAGTATTTGGAGGATGTAATATGATGACATATACGGAGTTGATGGAAGGGATGCCTTTTGTTCTTATTTGATCCCTTAACACGCCTCTAATCAAAACTCAAAGCAAAAATAAAATAGATCAAAGTGATTGCACAACAAAGAGCTATAGATTATTTGAGCAAAAACTATTTGGTTTGAGATTCACAAGAAAGGGTAATAAGGTAAAATTTGAATATAGTCAAAGGGCGGAGCTTGTAGGAGAAACATACTAGAGTCGGGAGAGCAACTGTGATATTTGTGAGATTCAAATTCTGAGTGTTGTAAGGTTCAAGTGTTAATTCTATAGATGCAATTACAGAGTAATGTTCGTAGAGTGTTGGTAACCACGACTCGTGTTAATTTGGTGTTATGATGAAATCAAAGAAGGCATGGAATGGATCATTCCATTGTTTTGCCTGACGGAATGTAATAGACCATTCCCTTCCAATATTGCTAATTTTCATTCCATGATCAAGAGGTGTTTTTTTTTCCTTTCATTCCATCATGGAATGAAATGAGAATTTGCAATATAACTCATTTTATTAATGTAATTTCTAAAGACACTTTTTTTAAAGTATTTTCATGATTTATATGACTTGCATTTTTATTTCTAGAAGTAAATAAAAAATGTATAGTTTTTAGTATAATATTATTTGGGTTTTAATAAGCTTTCATTATGTTTACTTTTAATTTGTAAATAAAAATTCATCAGCTATAATAATATAACATAAATGAGTAGAGTCAAAACTACATATTATATTTACATATAATATAATAAATCCATATGAAAATTCAATACAGGTCAACCAAACATATGCAGTGACTTATTCCATTACCTTGTTCATTAGCTATAAAGTCTTACCAGAGAGTGATTCATCTCCTAAACAAACTATGAAAGTGTTGAGTCAGTTTTTGCTAGATTTCATGGCTGGAATCACTTAACATGTTAAATAAACCAAAACTTTCAGTTGTGTATGCAAAATGATGGCTGGAATCATATTAAAGGATCTCCACATGTCAGTTGAGTCCAACAAAGTTGTGCATGCAAAATGATGGGAATACCCTTTAACTATGAAGTGGGATCAATTACCATCAACAAAATCAGGAAGAAACCGATCAAATGTTGTTGATAAATGATGTTGAAAGTTGGAAGGAATGAATAGATGATGGTAGATTTATAAAATGATAGGACTTAATGGGACAACTTCTATTGAGTCTTTAATTCTATATAATGTATTAGTTAAAAGGAAACAGCTGAGCCGTACTTACTTGAAAAATAACAACAACAACCAATCTGTCACTTCCTTGCAACAACTCTGACAACTTCACATACATAAATCAAAATATATGCAAAAGTCCAATGAACTATTGGTTATTACCTTCTCCTGTTTCAATAATGGAAAGGACATGGGTAGAAGATTATACAAGTTCTTCTTTTACACCATAACAGAGGTTCCCTGTAACAATAATCATTGCATAAATTATTTACTTATGCTAAAACACATACAACAACCAAAAACATCTTCACTTTAATAAAACATGATGATGATCCAAAATAAAATGCACAATGGGTTACCGGTATTATTAAAACTGTAAAAAATAAGGTATTTCAAACTTGATGCAAATAAGAGCTTTTCTCTCAGGTACCAAGTCTTCAGTTGTAATACTCGAAAGTTTGAACTCTTCTCTTAACATGTATTCCTACAACATTCATTCAAACCTCTCAATATCATAACATAAATAACTTTATACAGGTTTGGAGATATTCATATTTCATAATTCATACCAGTTTTCATATTTTATAATTCAAGAAGAAAGAAACAACTCTAATAAACTTCATGTAAGAAAAATAGAAAAATAATATATACCTTTTTTAAATGAACCATGTTTGGGATACTCACACTTCCGGTTCGAAGATGGGGTTCAAGAATATGGAAGCTTATGCTGGTAGGAGTGTGAAGCAGTGTTGTGATTTTAACAATGGTGTGTATCTGTGATTGCAACAAAGAGAGGGAGGAGTGTGGTGGCTGAGCGATGTTAATACAGAACAACATTACGTGCTTCCTTCTGCAGACATTTATCCCAATTTCCCCTTTCGTCTCTCACTCTAAAAACCCTAATCCCTCTGCCACAATGAACACCATTACAGTTTCCACGGCGCCTTGAAAGCCTTAACCTGAAACTCTCGATCAGAAGCTACTGAACTCCACAACCTGCACACACATGCCGACCATGCTAGATCTACCACAGGAAGCTTTTTGAAGATCGTACGCAGGATATCTTTACGAATTAAAGCTGCAAAATTGGAATTCATCGGAGATATGGTGGTATATGAGTCATCGCCGGTAATTGACGATGCCATGGAAGAGGATGAGGGGTGTAGGGTTGGGGTTTTTTTGTTGTCGGAGTTATTTGAAGAAGTGTATATAGAAGGAAGCAGGTCAAGGAATAGTGCTAGAAAAATGTTGGCGAGTATTCTCAAGAACAGTAGAGAGATGAAGAAGGTGAAATTACAACAGCGATGTAGATGAATGGAAATCAGAAGCCCTTTTTCTTGATTGAGATGATGAAGTTGAGAGATGGAGATGAAATCCTAACCTTCGATCTTTGATTGAGAAGTTGCACAACAGTGTGAAGAGAATGAAAGATGCGTGAAAATGCTTAGGGCAGGGAGGGTAGAGGGGTTTTCTAATTTTTTGGCTTTTCTTTTCCTACTTGTAACTAAGGAACGTGCGTTCATTAAAATTATAAAGCGACACATACAGAAGACGCACATTTAAGATACAACGCCCTCCGTGTTTTTTTTTTTACACTAATTTAAAGGCACGCAATAATGCGTGACCTAAATCCTTAAATTTTCTAAAGAGATGACACTTTTTTAATGTCACTCTCGTTTGCGTAACATAGATTAATAAGTGTCATGATTTGCGCATCGTAAAAGGCTATTTTTCTAGTAGTGTTTGAATGTGCTGTTTAGCGGGTATTTGAAGTACCAGTTTAAGAAGGTGACATAGAGGATTTGTGATGATTCTTGAGGAAAGTATGGATAGACGTGGAAGGTAGTATTAGGCTCGTAATTCTGAAAACACGGTATCCATACTCGAACCAGAAAAAGTCATGGAGAATCTAGGAAGCCTGTAGGATGAGGATTCTTTGTGTATGTTCTGACTATTATTTGGTTGCTTTCAAAATGGTGATGAGCACTCATGGAAGAGGATCTGGTTCAGGTATAGGCTCTGGTGTTGAGTCGATTAATGAGGGGATGAAAGAGTTCTTCACATCACCCACTAACATAGATATTTACTAGGCACATTGGGATTATGGGAGGAATACATGGGTTGTGAGTTTATGTTGGATTAAGGAGATGCAAGGTGTTTTCCACACCAATCCATATCCTATAGAAGCCAAAGTTTAGTTTTCTTTGGACCTCTTGCATCATCCAACACGAAGTTGTTGGGAATTGATTGCACAATCTATTATTCTTACTGAGTTGGATTCTATGTCTTGGGATGAGTTTCTGACCCAATTTAGGGACATGTTTGCACCAACTATTGAGGTGCAACAGTTGGCGATGGAGTTTCACAACCTTCGCCAAACGACTGAGACTAAGGTAGAGATCTCCACCAAATACAGAGAGAGGGCCTTAATGGTTCCACTATACACTACGAATGAGGAGATGAAGAAGACGAGGTGTCATGACATGATTGCTAGAGCTTAGGAATAGGAGATTGAGTTAAAGCATCGATTGAAGCCCAGGCCAGAGCATATTAAGACTGCAATGTGTGATATCCCCAAATTCGTAGTCATTTTAAAATTTTATTTATGCTTATTTAAAAAATCAAAGTATCCATTTTAAAGATATATGTTGCGGAATTTGTTCCTAGAAAAACATGATAAATATATTATCAAAGCATATCTGAAGAAATGTATTTTGGTTATATAAAAGCTTTGGGATGTCAACCTCAATACAGAAATATAAGCATAAACGGACCTTACATTCATTTACACTAGTGATTTACATCTCCTTTAATCTCTCAGTGTGATGTAGCTTCATATCGACACCTATGATACAAATACGAGTAGGTCAGGTTGGGAAACCTAGTGAGTACATGGAGTTTTCAACCCACAATAATAAATTTATTATATTTAATCATCAAACAATTAACCCAACCACCCATACCCATTAACTCCTTTATTCTTAAGTATCTTCCCTAAGAATCATCTAATCCTCAATATTTATTCCTAAGGATTATCCTAAGGAATAGGCACGAAGGCCATTGTTGTTAGTGTTCATATAACAGGCACTAAGTCCATAGCTACCGATGTTCATTTGTGAGGTACTAAATCCATAACTTCCAAGGTTTATCATTTTTATTGAAAATATTATTTTCAGGAGTCCACCCACAATACATGTCAATGGGTTTTTAGAGTACATCTAGTGAACACATCGTTCACGACACCTACAGGTCGCGAGCCTGCTAGTGTTCCACTGGACTGTCTAGAATAGTTTGTGGTTGTCATCTATATTCTACTAGATGATTAGGCCATCACTTGGGTCATCTCTTCTCATCGTCTTTCACCTCTCATCATCTATATAATTTATCATCACTCATCATTCATCTCATATTTTGTTTTTCATATTATCCTATCTTTAATCTACCGATCTTTACCTATCATAATTATAAGTGTAAAATATGTATACAGTTTAAATCGAATAAAGCATGTATATTTTGTTCATCCAACATAGATATTAAGAACACAAATAATATGCACACATAGCATGTAATTTATATTAAATACTTCATATCTATGTGTAAGATGAAAGTAACAATGCACTCACTTGTTAAAGTGATGATTCCAAACTCGGGCAACACTTCGCTTCTAACGATTCTATTTCCCTTCGACGAAACCTAGTATTATTACCAATAGATTTTAGTCTAATATTTATTGCGAGCGATGTCGTTTTATAAGTGTTAAACAATACCTTTCAAATACTATGTACAGATAGGGCCAGACATGAAACACCAGAGGGCATGACCATTTTGTCGTTATTGCACTTCTGAAATCCAACAACCCTATGTGGCCCTTCAAACTAGATTCCCCATACCGAAAGTAGTTAAAGATATTATAATAACACTTTGTATATTATATTTTATAATATATTTATTTTTTATAAGATCAAAATAATGATATTGAACTTAAACATACGCTAAATTAAAGTATGCTAAGCATAACTCACTTACGAGGAGTTTGGCTAGGAACCGGGATCTGCGGGGGCAGAACTTCTGAGCCAAAATCTCATCTTCTTAGAGGCTTCTAACACTCTGGGATTCGCCTCTTATCACTTGGGTAGTACTAAGGTTTGGGAGGGGTTTCGAGAGATGTTTAAGAGAGAAAGAATCAGAAAGGTGTGAAGGAAATGGAAGATTTGGGGCCTCAATTTATTGGCTCGGAAATGGCCCAAATTGGCAAGTTCTTAGCCTCCAACTCATCGAGTTGAGTGCCAAGTGTCACCATCTAGTGGCAAGGTGCGGGGAGGAAGCAATGGTTGGGATTGTGCCACGTGTAGGCGGCAAAATGTCACTAATTATCTTTTAAAATTAGTAACTTTCGCATACGAGCTCCGTTTTGATGCTCTTTACATCCAAATGTAGGCGGCAAAATGATCTACAACTTTTGTTTAGACTCCGTTTGCTAATTTTGATTTTATTTTTAAAGTTATATTTTAACAGGATTGGATAGATAACGTTTGTTAAAAATTCATAACTTTGTCATTCGACGTCCGTTTTCTCCTGTCTTTATATCATTGAGCTCCTATTAATGATATTTTCAATTTCTCATTTAGGTTGTGTCGGCTAGAAATCGACTGATCTAAAATTTGAATTCCGGGTTGTGCACTGCTATGCTAAATCTTAGAAAAATCATAACTTCCTCATACGAAGTCAGATTTGGGCGTTCTTTTTATGCATGTTCTCGGTTTAACGCATGCTACAAGTTTGTTTTAGATTGCTAAGGCTAAGAAGTATTTTATCGCAAACTCATTTCTTACGATTCCTGGTATCGTGCCGGTTTTGCCATAAATCTTCGACTTGTCATAACTTCTTCATCATAACATGGATTTCAACATTCTTTATATGTACGGAACCCTTGTGACATATACTATAAATTAGTTAATATTATTTATTCTAAATAATCTTCTATCAAAAATTCATTTTTGATGCTTATTATCTCTAAATTGACTAGCACGAATCTGCGGGCATTATAATTATCCCCCTCTTAGGATGATAACGTCCCGTAATCATCAACAAAAAAGGGCTTGTATAATGACTCAATATGTTATATTTTCATCCTAGTTAATAACCGTAACTCTTATGTCCTTTCAATCGGGTATCTAAGTCTTTGACTTCTTGACTGCTGGCAATGCTCAATCTTGCATTTGCTCTTCGTACTATGTTGGGCTTTCAATAGTAACCTTTGAGTTACAATCTCGATTCTCATTGGAAACTCCTTCTTTTTCTTTACAAGCTTAAGATAAGTTCTTTCCTTCGATTACCATAATACACCGATGGGTCATATTCTAATGACCTCTCATCATATGATGTAATGCTTAGACTTAGGTATTTTAGAGTCAAATTCTAGAATGGAATATACCTTCTTTCATGTTCTAATGTGATATAATCACTTTCTAGCATGTAACAATTTTAGCTACAAGCTTCTTTCTTTAACAACAATCGCAATATTTCTATTATATGCTTCGATTATCTTTCACTTCAATATTCTGGTTTAAGTCGGATACTTCATCGAACTTTTATCTCTGAACCACATAACACACTCATCTTAGTCGGAATCGATTTCATATGACCACTAGGGTCAGAATAACATTCATATTCTTATTCATTACCAAAACAATGGAAACAATATAAATGAATAAAACATAATCAATTACTAGTGCCTTGGTAACCTTGTGACTATCCTGATCCAAGTGTGAGTCATGTGCTTTCATTAGTATAGGCCTCTACTACCTTTCATACTTACTCATACTCGTCCTAAGTATTATCTCACTAACCCCAGGTTCTTATTTCCTAAACTCACAAAGAAATTTAACGCATATGAATGTGTCCAAATAATCATAAAAAATTTCCTAGACTCTACTAGGACTTTTTCCATATGTATCTTCAATCATCAATTCTGCTTCAACTCTGCTGGTGGAGGAAATGCCAGATAGTGGGATAACTTCATGGATTATACCAAAAGTTCTTTCTTTTTGCTAATCGAAAGTGTACTTCTCTTGTACCAAATGTATTTTAAAGGCAAGATACCTCTCTTATGATATCTTCTGATAGGTATCATTCACTATCTTAA